TTATCCCTCCCTCCTTCGTCATTGTTGTCAGGTGCCTCCAGACTGCTCGGACCCACAGCGACCCAATGTACAACAGGACAACCCCACCCCACCCGCCGGTCCTGCGTCAGCCTCACTTTGCCCTTAGCTGGAGCCCATTGCCGCAGCCACCGTGCCCATCCATCTCACCGAGGATCTTTCTCTTTTTTGCTGCCCCTCCACTTTGCCAAGCATGAGGTCCTTCTCTAGGGACTGGTCTCTCCTGACAACATGCCCAAAGTACGTGAGATGAGGTCTTGCCATCCTTGCCTCTAAAGAGCATCTTGACTGGACTTCTTCCGAGACAGATTTGTTTGCTCTTTTTCAGTCTGTGATACTTTCAATAGTCATCGCCAACACCTTGGTTCAAATGCATTGATTTTCCTTCAGTCTTCCTTATGCAGTGTCCAACTTTCACATGCCTGTGAGGAGATTGAAAATATCTTGGCTTGGGGTCAGGCACACCTTCATCCTGAAATGAACATCTGTGCTTTTCAGCACTTGAAAGAGGTCCTGTGCAGCAGATGTACCTAATGCAGTGCATCGTTTGATCTCTTGACTGCTGCTTCCATCAGCATGGATCGTGGATCCAAGCAAGATGAAATCCTTGACCACGTCAATCTTTTCTCCATGGATCATGACGTCACCTGTTGGTCCAGTGGTGAGGATTCGTGCTGTTTTTACATTGAGTTGTCATCCGCGTGGAAGGCTGCAATCCGTGCTCTCCAGCAGCAAGGGCTTCAAGTCCTCCTCACTTTCAGCAAGCCAGGTGGTGTCATCTGCATGTCGCGAGTTGTTAATAAACTTCCTCCAATCCTGATACCGCATTCTTCTTCATAGAATCCAGCTTCCCTGATGATTTGCTCCGCACACAGATTGACTGAATCTGGTGAGAAGACACAACCCCGACATCTACCTTTCCTGATTTTAAACCATGCAGTATTTCCTTGCTCCGTCCTCACAGCTGCCTCGCGATCAGGTGCAGGTTCCCCGTGAGCACAATGAAGTGTTCTGGGATTCCCATCCGTCTCAAGACCATCCCTTGTTTGTTAGGATGCACACAGTCAAATGCCTGAAGCACAAGACACATCTTTCTGGTGCTCTCTTTTGAGCCAAGATTCACCTGACATCAGCAAAAACGCCCCTTGTCCCACGTCCTCTCCTGAATCTCTGGTCTGAATCTCCGGCAGCTCCTTATCAATGTACTGCCGCAACTGGTGTTGGATGGTCTTCAGCCAAATTTTGCTTACATGTAACATCAATGATATTGTTCTGTCACGTGCACCCCTTGGCAACCAACCAAGTCTGTCTCTTTTAGTATAAAAACTTTTGCCTTAATTTTTTTCTTTATAACAGTGGATCCAGACAATATTTTCACCTTTTGTGATTGCCTCCCTTCCGTCAGCAGAATGTTCTCCGGGTTCATTTGTGCCGCGAGGTGCCGTGTGATTTCATCACCTGTCGTCAGCAATGCGCAGTTTTCCACGCTGCGGATGTGTCGATGCATCTTTCCCCGTTCTTCCTCTGGCAAGAGCATCGGCTCTTGATCTCAAGCGACCTTCTGAAATGGTTGAACATCAAGCAGCCGCCCAATTATTTTGGCACCGTGTCTCCATACTCCTGCCATCTTCTTTTTATTCCTTCTGCACCATTCAATATTTTGTCCACAGAATCCTTTAATGTTGCAGCATGAAGATCTAATGCTCTCTTCAGTCATTTCGGCTTGGGGATGGTATGCATGCTCCCCGTGTGTGTTCTGAACCACAGGCCATTGCATATTTGATAATAATATGAGGATGCATATTTGATTATAAGAGGATTGCGCACACTTGATTGTAATACTTTCACTTTGTCTTATTGAGCTGCCGTTTGAAATCTTCTGATCTGGTCTTTTACTTTATCATTTCTCCAACTTACTTTAGTTACCGTACATCTGAGAGCAAGCTTCAGAATCTTTTCTGACATCTAATTTGGTCTTTCTTTCTTACATGTCTTTTTAATGACCCTTTACTCTCCTCAACTATGATGTCCCGCTGTCACCCCACAACTCACCTGGTCTTCTGTCATTCGTGTCCAATACACGTCGAGTCTTGAGATGGTTTCTAAGTCCAGGTGGAATATACTCAAGGTTACACTTTGGCTCTGCAGACTTGTCTTAATTTTCTTCAGCTTCAACCTGACTTGCAGATGTGCAATTGGTGGTCTGTTTTGCACTTGGCTCCTGGTCTTGTCATGACTGAACACGTTCAGTAGCTCCATCATGTGCTGGCACAGATGTAGTCTGTTTTATTCCTGTATATTCCATCTGGTGAGCTTTATTTGTATAGTAGTCAGTTACGCTGTTGAAAGACAAAAGGCATTTCCGACAGGTACATCATTGGTCTTACAAAATGCCATCAAGTCCAGATGGGTTTCTGTGACCGAGGCTGGATTTCCCAACGATTGAGCCCTCTTGGTCTTCAGTGTGTTCACACTCCAATGGCCACTTATCACCAGTGCATCTTGATTGGATGCGTGGCCCATGTCAGACCGGAGAAGTTGGTAACGATCTTCAAATTTCTTCATCTTTGGAATTCGTGGTCGGTGCATACATTTCAATAATGGCGGCATTAACTGGTCTTCCTTGCAGGCCTATGGGTACTATCCTATCACTGGCAGCGTTGTATTCAGGATAGATCTTGAAGTGTTCTTTTTGACAATGAATGCGTTTCATTTAATTATCTGTTGGGTTCGTTTCCTTGAGTCAGACTTCGTACATGCATGTTCACATGATGAACGGATGTCTGTGGCTGTTTCTCTGGTTTGAGTCATGCTCGGTTAGCAAAGGAAGGTCCCGAAAGCTTTGCTCCGTCCAGGTTGACGCCACGTGGTTGAGGCAGCGCTTCTACAGCCTTTGTTTGAGTGACTTCCCACCAGAGGGACTCATGTTTTAGCACTATAGCAAATAAGGTTCTGCTCCGACGCCTAAGGCTTTTGCTGGCCAGCATTGTTGGAAGTAGATCACCAGGTCTTCCTTCCTAGTGTAGCTGAGTCTGGAATCTGCTGAAACCTGTTCACCTTGACCATGGTGACCATGGTAGTATTTGAGACCTCAGTGGCGTAGCTTCCTGCAGCACCCAACCCATCCCAGGACGATAAGCTGATAACTGAGCGATGGGGCTGAGGGCTGGAGTTGAGGGTAAGTAGTGTTTCATGCTAACAAAACTTTCATTTTTCGGTCCTTCCATCTTGGAGAAGCAGCATCTTCACAGGAGGCTCTAGGGACCAGAGAGAGCTCTTGGAACCAACTCTGTTCTTCCAAGGCCCCTTATGTGGCCAGGCGGGGGCATTCCTACTATTGTCATTTACCTCCCTAAGGTGGGACAGCCATGTAGCGGGGACCTACGGGAGAGAGGAAAGTGGAACGTCCACCTTTCACAGAACATGTTGGAGAAGACCCCCTGAAGATTCCCAGGGCTCAGAGAGGTTCCTTCAGCCAGTCATGCGCTGGTCAGGTTGTGATCCCTTTAGACAACCTGGAAGTCACCTTCTTCAGGCTCTTTTCAGACAGTAAGAACTGCTCTCCCACCCTCTTAGCCTGCGCCAGCCTACCTGCAACCACAAGACCATAAGCCCCCTCCCGGCCCCGGCCCCCCTGAGCTCTCTGATCCATGGGCCGCCCTTCCTACCTTTAGCCACTTCCCTCACAGCCATCAAGCCCGTGCTGGCTCGCAGCAACCCCTGTGGGTTTCTGAGACCTTAACTGTTAACGGGAGAAGAAAGCCCAGTCTTTCTCCTTCAGGGCTGCTAGTGGTTTTGAACTGCTGACCATGTGGATCGCAGGCCAATGCATACCCACTACACTACCCGGGCTCCTCCTGTGACTCAGCGGTAGTCCCCAAAATATATGCCCATGTCTTAACCCCTAGAATCTGTGAGTGTGCCTTTATTTGGAAAAGGGGTCTTTGCAGATGTAACTACATCAGCGGTCTCAAGAGATCGCTCGGGACTATTCATCACAAACCAAACCTACTGCCGGGAAGCCAACTGCGACTCATAGCAGAGTAGAACTGGTCCCGTGGGGTTTCCAAGATGGTAAGTCTTGGTGTGTTTGAACTGCCGACTTTGGGGTTAGCAGCCCAGCGCTTAATCCAGAGCACTATAAGAGACCCTTAGATGATCCACATGGACCCTAAATCCAACGGCAAGCACCTTTATAAGAGACAAAGGAGGAGAAAACAAAAGAGGGCAGACAGCCGTGAGGGGACAGAGACTGGAGTGAGGCCACCAGGAGCCAAGGAACCCGTAAAGCCGGCAACAGCTGGAAGAGACCAAGAACAGAGTCTCTCCCGGTCCTTTGGTGGGCGTATGGCACTGCCTCCAGAATCCAGGTTGGAGCCTCCAGAATCCAGAACTATGAGAGGACAGATGTCTGTTGTCCTAAACCACCCACACTGTTGTCATTTGTCACAGCAGGCCTAGAAAGCCAAGGCACAGCTTACGTGAACCCAGTTCTCCTAGAGCCTGCCTTGCCTCCCTGCAAGAATGCCCCCGCGCTGCGCAGCTCTGAGAGCTTAGCAGGAACACACACACACACACACACACACCCCTCCGAATTTACATCTCTTTGTCTCTGGCACTCAGGAACATGATGAGATCATGCGGAGAGGCCTACTGAGAAATGGTGGGAGGGGGCAGGCAGGTTGAGCCGCGCAGAGCAGGCAGCCATGGAGATTTCTCTGCACCTTCCCTGTCAGGGGGCTACGAGAACCCAGGTCCCTTCCTTCCTGACCTGAAAATAGACTCTTCTAGAATCACGGAAGCAACAAAGGAGAAAAACAGTCCAGAGTCAGATCTCACCACACACTTTTAATGAAAAGAGTGGAGAGCTGGCCCGAGTCCAGAGGGCCCCCAGAGAAAGGACCACAAGTGGACGCTCCATTAGCATGTCAGGACAGGGCTTGCAGGAGGCTGCCCCTGACCGGCCTGCGGTGAGCTCTGGCTCAAAGCTCCGAGGGGAAGGCTTGCTTCAGGGTGAACAGGAGGAAGATGACCTCCTGGTAGTCGTTGAATTCATACAGACACCCAAACTGTGGGGACCCGTCAGGCCCAGAACCCATGCTCTGGAGGTCGGAATAGGCACAGCTGCCCACGGCCAGCAGAGAAGGCTCTGACCAGGCTGAAGGATCCAGCGGCCGCTTGTTGAGATAGGTACCCAGATTGATCCTCTGACTGGGGTCCGTAGGGTGAGTGTAGAGTAGCCACCTGTCTGAGGAGGCTGGCTCTGCGTGGGGGCTGGGGAACGCCACGGTGCTCCCGTGGCAGCCATGTGGGGGTTCCACAAGCTTCCTTACCGGCTGGGCTGTCTTAAAGGTGAGCCCATTGTTGGTGCTCTCTGCCTGGACCCTGGTTCTCCGGAAGCTTCTGGCATTGAGATATACCACACTCTTCTCCCCGGCCCCAACTTCCGCCACTTGGCACTCCAGGGTGTCCTGGGCCACAAAGTGCCCGCATTCCCACGTGTGCCCATGGTTGTGGCTGAGGAAGCAGAAGGCAAAGGGGACAGGCGCCCGGTGAGCTTGAAGGTTCCGGTAAGCGTAGGCAGGCAACACCAGACTGTGGGTCTTGTTGTGCAGTTGCAGACAGTGGCCCGGGCCCACAGCAAAGGTGGCCCAGTCCCCGTGGGCCGAGCCGATGGTGGCGCCAGTGAGGTCTCTGGGGGGGCTCCAGGTCCTCCCGTGATCGAGACTGGTGACTTGGCACAACTTGGCCACGTTGACCCTGGTGTGGAGCTGGTGGTGTTCAGAGACCTGGCCTGGAATGGCGATGAAGAAGAGGAAGAGGGTCCCCGTCTTCTCGTCGTACAAAGGGCACGGGTTCATGGACCGGTGGCCCGCCAGCTGGGCCTGGGCCACCACCTCCTGATCTTGCCACTGGACGTGAGGAGAGAGGAAGAGGGACACACTCAACCTTAACACAGTGACAGGAGATGCCCTCTCCGGGGACTTAGCGTCAAAGGGTACTCGGGAGAACCCTTCGCTCACGTTTCCACCCTCCTCCCATGTCTCCCCAGCCTGGTGGGAGCCCGTGCTCCAACCCCACGCTCTCCACGGCAACCTGCTCTTCACCTGGCCTGCTCTAGGTATACCTGTCCCAGTCAACAGGCATTTGCAGAGCACCAACCGCACGCTAGAGCCCCCACCTCAGGCAGTCGTGCAATAAGCAAATGCATCCAGGCGGCCAACTGGGCTTGTTCAGGGCAAACCCATGTTAAGTACCCGGTGCTCACTGCACCTGCCCACCTCACAAGTTATCCAGGGCTCCCCAGGACCTGGCCCTGTGCCCTAGACCTCCACCATTTCATCGCCCGGCATTCCAGCTTGACCCCCAAACACACAGCCGCCGAGAGGGGTGTTCACAGCAGCACCTGCCGTCCGTCACCTGGGCCTTACCTGGACCTGGTGGGCGGACCCGTCGTAGGCCCCTCTGCGCAGGACGATCAGTTCTGCGTGCTCGTCCCGCTTGCTCACCCGCCTCTCGGCAAAGGCCAGCAGCACCTTCTTCTGGGGCAGGTAGAGCAGAGCTGGGATTCTGTACGCATGGTCCCCTGACCGGAACAAGCTGTCCCTCTGCAGCACCGGGCAGGGGGCCGTGGGGCGGGAAGCCATCGTGCTGGGGAGAGTGTGGGAGGAGAATGAGTCACCTGTGGTCACATCCAAAGTCACATTTTAAAAACCCAACTCACTGCCCTCGACTCATAGTGACCCCATACAGGGCAGCGGTGGAACTGGCCCTGTGGGTTTCCAAGACCGTCACTCTGGGCAGGAGTAGAAAGCCCCATCTTTCTCCTGCAGGTGGTTTCAAACTGCTGACTGCACGGTTGGCAGCCCAGTTTTGTAACCATTGTGCCGCCAGAACTCCGCTGAAGTCACCTGGGAGAGGGCCAAGGTATCCACAAGGGCAGGCCTGCTTGTCCACTGGGAGTCCAGTGGGTCTTCTGAGCCAGAGGGCCCCAATCCTCCCACGGAGACGGCAGTACTCAGTCCGGGAGAAATCGGGGAGAAGGCGCTTGGACAACGGCACCCTGGATTAAGTTTTGATTTCTAAGGTAGCACAGATTTATGGTAACCTTCAGCGACTCTTGCCAAGCCCGGCCCATCAATCAAACGCTAAACATCAGGGAGGACCGGAGCGCTTGCCGAGTAGCATTCTGCTTCTGTCCAACTGCCAGAGAAATGACATGTGGGAGCTTTTTATAACTCCAGAGCCCTAGAAAGTTGTTTTTTTGGGGGGAGGAAGGAAAAAAAAAAATCCTTAATGTTCCCTCCGCAGGCTGCCTGCGGCTAAGGCCCGGCTGCCCCCACAGTGTGGGATCCGCCTGAGGGCAGGGAGCAGGGGATGTCGGGAAGGGAAAACAGTCGGCTGAGGATGAAGAAGGCCCTCCAGCCACAGGAAGAGACAAGCGGAAAAGGCCAGACAGCGCCTGGAGGGAGACCGGCGTGGGGATTGGGACCCTGGGACGTCCTCCCCGTGGTGCAGAATGCTGGCGCTCGGCTGTTCCCATGCAGAGGCCGGGACAAGGAGAAGAGCCCGTCCCCCAGGTCGGTCCCCTTGGCTGGCCTTCACCAGAGTTTGAGAGCTGCCAGCCCCCTGGTCCTGACCTGAGGTAACCCTGAAGGCCTGGCCTAGCTCAGGGGGCACATGCATCCCACTGGGCTTCTCCTGGGGTCCCCGCTTCACCCTCTGCCCAGTCGGACAGCCTTCCGGTCTCTTCCAGGCGCTGGTCCACTTCTGTCTCAGCCTCCTCTAAGGCTGCGCCGGTAAGCAGATGCTAGACCTTGACTGCCGAAACCAAGGTTGGACGGCAAGGAGGTTACCTTGAGCACCGAGGTGTTCCTGGCCCAAAACAAGGTTTTCCCGTCGCCTTCTGTGCACATGACCGTTGGACTGCAGCCAGGGAAGACCACAGAAGAATGGCTGCGTCTGAAGGACGGGGCTGGCCCAGACTAGTGGACGCACCACGGACTGCTAATACAGCAAACACGTCTGCCTGTCTGCCCGGGAAGAGGTACAACCAGCGTGCTCCTTAGAGCAGGGACGGCACACTTCACCTCACGTACTGTGGACACGTTGTCAAGAGAGACCCGTCCCTGGAGAAGGACCCCCTGCTTGGTAAAGCAGAGGGGCAGCGGGGAAAGGGGAAGGTCCGCGATGAGACGATGGGTGGACGCTGTGTCTGCAACCATGGGCTCGCTCAGAAGAATGATGGTGCGGGTGGTGCGGGGTGAGCAGTGTTTCGTTCTGATGAACGTGAGGGTCGATTTGAGTCGGAACCCACTTGACAGCGGCTAACAACAACGGTATCAACAATCTGAAGCCCACCCCCCTGTCTCTGAAGACCCCCCAGGACCTGTCCACTGCCCTGTGAGCAAGGTGACCACTCATTCACTCACTCACTCATCCAGGGAGAAGGGATGGCTGCGTAGAGCTCTGTGTTCTTTTTATTGTATTATTATTATTTTAATTCCTCATTTTATTGGGAGCTCTTACAGGTGTCAGAACATTCCATCATCCCAAGGGTTCAAGCACATTGTACAATTGCTACTACACTCCGTTTCAAAACATCTTCTGGAACTCTCTGAGATCAGCTTCCCTTTAGCCCCTTCC